AGAAGCCAGCGTCTCTTTCAGCCTATATTTATTTACACTTTATCTTTTCACTTTGGATTCAATTTAATGCACATTATATATGCGCAGATAAATTTTTTAAAAAATAAATAAAGAAAGAATATTGAAAAATAAATAAAAATTACAATGTTAATAAAATTTTAACGTAATATTATTTATTTTAACGTAAATTTTGACGTTAATTTTTATTTTATTATATATTTATTATATATTTTTTTAATGACGTTTTAAAAAAATTATTTTTTTTAATTTTTTCCAACGAAAAAGACTAGATTCTTAAGTTTACGATTTTAAAAAAACACAGATTTCTTTTGATGTGTTTTTAAAATTTATTTAATATTCAAGTCTCTCGTTTATATTTTCCATAATTAAAATTTTTAAAACAAATTATAATTTCTTCTCAAATTACAATTATTTTATATATTAATATAATATTAAAACGTTGTTATAATTTTAGTAGAAATTACTTTCTAATTATCTCACATTAAATAAAAATATATTAAAATAGATATTGTGTATTGTTATTTATTATTTATGTACAAGAACTTATCTAAAAGAATAAGATTTTAGTCTAATGATTGAATGAAATGTATAATTGAAATCTTTTTTAAAATTAATTCCGAATTACAATACTTTTCGTCTCAGTTCAGACAACACAATGTCCAAAATTAAAACATGTCTCTTTCACAAAGATATCTTTAAAACGTATTATGTATCTTATGTCTCGGTTTTGGATTTTGTGTTGTCTAGGAACTATCAGTGACAATTTAATTGGCTTGCACAATCCGTTTTTACGACTTTGCACTCACGCGATAATCACAACGGAAGTGTCGTTCGAAAATTTTGCAAAAGATACTCGGATGATCATCACTTCCTACTCGCAGTAGATCGGGATCTATTCTTTCGCGGTGGATTCTAAGTCTCTTCTTCCTCATGGAGAAATTAAATTTAAATTCTCGGAAGCATTTTGATTAATTTGTGACTCTTTTTCTCAACGAGAAATGAGTTGATATGAGTTGATGCTGATTCGATGTAATTTTTAGACTTTATTGATATTGATTCGACGTTCAACCAATAGTTCATTTTTCGCTGGATAATTTTTCCCAACATGCCGATCTCTTCCACTTTTATCCGAAAGCAGGCAGCCGGCTTCAGAATCGAATTCTGGGAGAAAATTTTTCTTCAAGGATCCTATGATTTCGCGATCTTCACATATCAGCAGCAGGCATCTTCTTTGAAATGTTGAATCACACTCCAACCGCCAGATGAGACGTCGTAAGTATAAAAATGGTTAGTAATAATCGTCACTATTGATAACGCGCGCTTCATTACGTAAAAGAAAAAATAATCGAGAAAAGAAACAATCGGAAGCGGGATCACGCGATCTTTTTCTGAGAAATCGGACGCAGAATCTATGTTTATCCTATCCTATTCGGTATTTCTTATAGTTCTTGATTAAAAGATGTCGTGTATCAATAATTACATCATAATTATATCATACTGATAAATTAGTATTAATGATAAATTAGTATCAAAATGTATGATTGTGTACCTATGGTATTATATACAAATGTTGTTATATAATTTAGCTAATTTTTATATCGCTATATGACATGATCTTTGTTTTGTGCTTTCGCTAACTCTAAATGATCTCGAAACAATGGCATGTATCAACAAATGTTTCCTTTCATGTGCCAGGCTCATCTCTCGTGATACAAAACGCATGCTTTCGTTCGTCAAATGCTATCAGGTAATCTCCATTCAGCTGAAAGCAAAATATATCAAATATATTAAAATATAATATATATAAATTATAATATTATAATATAATAAAAAATTTATTCTCGTCCATACACTTTGCCAGTCAACTATTGCAGCAACATTGTTGCAATATTGTAAAATTTGTGCTGTATAAGCGTACAATAATTATAATGTTAATAAAAAATTACATTCAATTTGACAATTTAATTCGCGTGAAATTATTTAACAATTATTTATTTTGATTAAAAAAAAGTATGAGATTCAAATTCGATTTAGTGTCAATAAACCTCAATTGGTAAATATTTAATCACACGTGTATACACGTGATAACTGCCATAAATAATAAACAGATATGCAATCATTGTAATGCCAAATACTCATGATATGGTATGTACACGTGTGTGTATACACAAAAATAAATATATACATATTCTAGATAATATATATGTACTTATAATATATTTAGAATACATGTACGTATATTTAGAACACACACACACACACACACACACACACACACACACACACACACACACACACACACACACACACACACACACACACACACATATATATATATGTTTCTCTTTTTCTCGATGCATTTTAAGATGTAATTGGCAGTGCTGATTATTTTTTTCGACGTAAATCGAAATAATTGCGAAATGTTGCGCGTGCGGCGATAAGAAGCGCGATGGCACGGGGCGCCGTCGTCGAGGATCGACGTTCCAACGGCCGTCCGATGGCTTTTATCAACGCTGATACAGCGATAGCCTTGCGTCACTTTGAGAGTGTAGATTTATGTTTAACATTAATGACTCTTTCGAATTTACGACCTACGCAATTGCGTACTTATCGAAGTGCGATTTACGCATGCGAAAGCCGCCGCGTACCGCGAAAGACGCAATCTTCGCCGCCATGTCCTTGAACATTCTTCCGCCGATTTTTGCCGATGCAATTGTGCGACGAAGATTCGCAGTCTGCGCAAGAGACTCTTGCTCAAGAGACTCTCTCTTGTGCAATCGTATAATTATGAATGAAACACTTACCTAATTAGAGGATACGCAGGATCCCCACTGTGTTTCACTTTGATAGATGCCAATTCAGTGGGTATTTGATCCACTGCGAAACGCCTTCGGCGACCACTGTAATGTTGTCAATTTATTTATTTATTATTTATTATAAACAAATTCAGGAAATTTATATATATATATATGTGTATGTATACCTTATGTATATTTATGTATATATATATATATATATAGAACTTATTAAATAAAATTATAAAATATAAAAATAATAATAAATATATACAGATCTAATCACGAATTATTTTATTTTAATTATACTATTTTAGACATTTTATTATATTTTTAATATATTTTATTTTGCTTCCAGTTGAACAAATTGTCTGATAAATTGTGTTATATATCAAAAGTATATTCCATTATTCTTTGTCTTTTTCTTTCTCATTTTTCTTTTATTCTTTTGTATTGTTATACTAATTATATTTGATCTTTTCACGAAATTTTCCTTACATTTTCACTGGATCTATTTGTCTGTTCCCTCGTATTACCAACGACCGTTTGCCTTGCGTTTGATGAGTGATGTTCGACAAAGTCATCAATGTTTCTAACTCCGCTCGCCTTTGATCCGATGATACTCGTCTTTGGCGTCTGTGAATATGCGATTAGTTCGATTGCGATTGAAAAAAAAGGATAATTTTAATTTAATTTAACTCACGATTTAATTGGCAAATTTCCTTGCACAAGTGATGAGACTGCTTTTTGTTCATAGTCCAAGGAATTTTCCGGCTTCAGGACACGTGACTCTAACATGTTCAAGATCGACCTATTGCAAAATAAAAAGAACAAAAATGAGATATCGTATGAGATAGCATGTTTGAAAAACCGAAAAATTTCGATTTTTATTTAGATTTTATTTAGAAAAAAATACAAATTATTTGACGTATTTCCTTAACCATTAACGAGATAGTCGGTATATTTATATGCTCAAAAGGGCTGACATTACATCGCCCATCATCAACATGATGTAATAATGTTGGATGCATTCATAATATTATTCTGACGTAACATGCATGCAAAGAACGTAAGAAATTTTACGTAAGAGGAAATCGAACGGAAGGTTCCGTTCATTAAAGCGGAAACGCGCCAAATTGTCGAGTTCCCGATCTTCCGCGGAATCAATTAATTAATCGATTCCAATTGCGACTG